TACTGCTACTACTACTACTACTACTACTACTACTACTACTACTACTACTACTACTATTATTATTATTATTATTATCATTACTATCATGATAATTATTATAGCATCCCACCACAGGGCAAAGACCTACAATAATGATTTTACCCATGCTTTCTTATAAATTAGAGTTGGGCAGTATGTTGTCTGAAAAAAAAAACTGCCAACAATGTTTTTGTCATTTTGACATTACAATTAGTGCTATGTGAAGGAGTATTTTTGTGTGCAACACACAAATACGTTCAACCTTGGTGAAAACCCTGCAGGGTTTCAATTCACAGCTGAATATTTTAACCTGTTAAAATGAAAAATAAATAATAATAAAAATAGTTTGATTATTTATAAGTACGATTTTGGAACGCAGAGTAAGAAAGTTGTATTGTCATTTAATAATCATTTTCATGTAAATGACAGATTTTTTTCCAATATTGCCAAACCAAGATGCTTTCAGGAAACAATGACAGAATACACCACAGCTAATTAACATTTCTTGCTAAGCCAATTCATACCCAACTCATCTTAAAACACACAAAATAAATGACTGAGATCAACTCAATGTTTCAGCAATGAGTTAGCTGAGTTTTAGCCACGACACATCCTCTGTTCCCAAACTTAGAGTCAGGACTCCGGTGTGGATCAGGAGACATCAAAGTGGGGTCTTGAATATATTGTGAAAATAATTTCATTTAAAATTTACAACATTTGCTTTGCCTCATTTGTTTGAAAAAAAGAGGTTAAAATAGATAGCATTAGCATAAAGAATATTATAAGCCCTCGTTTATTTGGCCTGATTCATTACCCAAAACATAGTTTTGGGGAATAGGTCGGATCAAAAGTTAAAAAGTTTGGGAACCAGTGCTCTGTTGAATGTTGCTTGAGAACTTTGCTAAAAAAACTAGTGTTAGGTGTTGAAATCAACCCTCATTGACTCTTAGCAAAATATCCAGTGAGGGACCAGACACTCTAAAAATGAAATGTTGGATTTACTTAACCATGTTATGTTACCCGGTTCCACTTAACTGAGTTGAGTAAGTTCAAAGCAACATGCTCATGTTCTTTGGCTAAAAAACTGGTATATTAACATGGTTAAGTAAAGCCAACATTTCATTTTTTACAGTGGACAGATTTTCATGAAACTTTAGTAATTTAATCGTTCAGCTAATTTCTACAACTGTTTACAGTTTGGAGTAAATCCAAATCAGAATGGCCACCATAGCCAATGCACATTAGTTAACTCAAAAATGCGCTTAACTTGGTCAGTTTGGTGTGGTGATAGCTGAGAGTTATTTGCAGCACATACTCTGAGCATGAAACCCTGCGTAACGTTACATGTGTGGTTTGGATGGAACTGTATAGCTGTCATTTTGCCACTGCGCTCCCCTCCCCCCCCACCCCCCTCCCAAATAAGAACCACTGGGTTTCCGATCAGAGCGGACAGAGATGGGAGAGGGAGGCGGGAGGGAGAAGCAGAGCAGAGAGGAGAGAGAGAGAGAGAGAGAGAGAGAGAGAGAGAGAGAGAGAGAGAGA